GTAGTGTGTATATGTGTGTGTGTGTGTGTGTGTGTGTGTATATATATATATATATATTATAAAAATAACTATATTATGTGTAATATAGATATATCTATATATATATATATCTCACACACACAGTGAAAATCTTTATGTAGTACATAATGTAACAGAAAATTGTTCCTTCCAGATTCCCTTTAATTTAAACAGAGATCTGCTAAATTATAATGTATCTGTGTTTGTGTGGAACAAAAGAGAAGATCTCTCTTCATTAAATGTTTACCATTTTAAGCCCTTAAGAAGTTAGAATCAAGGTAAACACACCGGGCCAGCATTCTGATTAGCAAAATCCAATTAACCTGGAAAGACCATTAAGTGAATTAACAAATTTGATAATCTCTTTAGAAGGAATTTTTCCATTCAAGTTCCCTGGAGGCTTTTATTTACAAAGGAAAAACCTGAAAGCTTTTAGTACTCTGACATTTTTCTTTCACATTAAAACCAGTTTCTGGGTCTCTAGGGGGAACATTACCTCCATCTACTTACTCCATATACACTTGGAAAGAAAATATGGCAGTACTTAAAAGCAACATTCTGGCAAATATCTGGGATTTACATATGAAAACTTGGAGGTTTTCTCTCCTGAGTGCCATCAAATCTCATCAGTCATTTCTTAAATGTTCTCTGAGTGCTGCCATTCACAACTCTTTCAGAACTGTAAACACTCCCTTGAAAGAGACTCCATAGCTGGGTGCTCAGCTGAAGCCTGAAAGGAAGTACTTTGGAGCAATGAAGTACATGCAAATCATACCTTTTTTCTGTTTAATTTAAAGGAATTTAAATTCAGGCTTTGTTCCTTCAGGTCCTACAAAGAAAAACATGCCTGCTTGGATTCATCTTGGAATGATTTCTGAAGGACCAAAACTTCAACAGACAACAAACATCCTTATAGTTTCATTACTGTTTCCTCTGCTTTGTCAGCTCCTCTAATGAGTAACAAAGATAAGAAGCAAGAAAGGTAGTTACTTTAACAATGAGAAAGTAACATGAATATGAAGTCTTTTGTTTTATCTTTAATTGTATAATGGCAAACAGCAGGAACTGATTATCTGCACTTGATATTAGTGTTTCCTGGGTGCCAACTGACTGCTTTATTAGGTGGGTGGTTAGGAAAAGAACAGAATTTTTATTTTATCCTACAACAAATCCATCTATTCCTGTGCATTAAAACAGGGGCTATAAGTATGTCTCTTCTCCACTTATTTTGAAGTGGCCCTATTAATTGCTTTCAAATATTGGCTTCTATGATGTTTAATATTGAAAGATCAGTTCTTCCAGTGGAAGATGATATATTTACACCTACTTAGGTTAAAACAGCCATAATTGTATTGTAAATATGGTTTTGCTTTAAATATCTAATTTTAATAATTTATTGTTATCTCTTTTGGCTATTTCAACTGTTGAAAAGACAGAAAACTAAAAGTCATTAATTAATGGTTTTCTTGTCAATCTGGGTTGATTTGTTTTCCCACTAACTAAATTAAAACTTTGAAAGAGCCATTCTAAAGAGACTGAGTCATTTGGATTACAATAGGTTTCAGAGTAGCAACCGTGTTAGTCTGTATCCGCAAAACTCCTGTTCTTTTTGCGGATACAGACTAACACGGCTGCTACTCTGAAACCTGTCATTATGCAAGGCACTGCATTTAGCCGTATGGAGTGGAAATCCATCAACCTCATGAAAACACAAGTACTCCTGTTGGATTACAATAGTTACATACTTAAAGATATTGTAAAAGTTATCATTTCAACCACTATCCCTACACGCAAATAAACTTTATTTTAAAACATTTAGTCCAAACACTTACTTTTTCAGAGGGTACAATTTTTCAAAAGGGCCTTTGTTGATTTGACTGAATTACTTTGGAAAATGTGTTTCCAGAAAGTGGATTATGTTCAAAAGACGTTTCCTAAACACATCACTAAAGAGTATTTCGTCAAGATTATGGATGCTCATCCACTGTGTTCATTTTGTTAATTGTCCCTCCCCCATCTTAGACTGTCTAGAATCATCAGCAGATCTGAATGGCATTTGAGGTTCTACTTCTTTTCGTCCCCACCCCTTTCCTTCCCATGCCCTCTCACTCAATTTCACTTTTGAAAACCAATTTTTGATATTTCACAAGTCTCAATAAGTCATGCATTGTGCGCTTCAATAAGTAGTATCCAATTCCAAATTGGATTAAGTATATTACGAAATAAGAGTGTTCATACATGATATTTAGGAATAGTTATTCCAGAACATTTATTCCGAAACAACTATTCTGGAATAATTCCATATGTAGAGTATCAGAGGGGTAGCCTTGTTAGTCTGGATCTGTAAAAAGCAACAGAGAGTTCTGTGGCACCTTTAAGACTAACAGATGTATTGGAGCATAAGCTTTCGTGGGTGAATGCCCACTTCATCGGATGCATGTAATGGAAATTTCCAGGGGCAGGTATAAATATGCTGGCAAGAATCAGTCTGGAGATAACGAGGTTAGTTCAATCAGGGAGGGTGAGGTCCTCTGCTAGCAGTTGAAGTGTGAACGCCAAGGGAGGAGAAACTGCTTCTGTAGTTGGCTAGCCATTCACAGTCTTTGTTTAATCCTGATGTGATGGTGTCAAATTTGCAAATGAACTGAAGCTCAACAGTTTCTCTTTGGAGTCTGGTCCTGAAGGGTTTTTTTGCTGTAAGATGGCTACCTTTACATCTGCTATTGTGTGGCCAGGGAGGTTGAAGTGTTCTCCTACAGGTTTTTTGTATATTGCCATTCCTGATATCTGACTTGTGTCCATTTATCCTTTTACGTAGTGACTGTCCAGTTTGGCCAATGTACATAGCAGAGGGGCATTGCTGGCACATGTTGGCATCTATAACATTGGTGGACGTGCAGGTGAATGAACCGGTGATGATGTAGCTGATCTGGTTAGGTTCTATAATAGTGTTGTTGATGTAGATATGTGGGCAGAGTTGGCATCGAGGTTTGTTGCATGGATTGGTTCCTGAGTTAGAGTTGTTATGGTGCAGTGTGTGGTTGCTGGTGAGAATATGCTTAAGGTTGGCAGGTTGTCTGTGGGCGAGGACTGGCCTGCCTCCCAAGGTCTGTGAAAGCGAGGGATCTTTGTCCAAGATGGGCTGTAGATCACTGATGATGCGTTGGAGAGGTTTAAGCTGAATATGTAGACCTATGTAGACAAATCCTCAGTTATCAATTTATGCAATTCCTTGCACTTTAACAGAGTGGATTTGATTTGCATAATGTATGTATGACTGTTTCTCAATAATTGTAAAGTATACAAATGCAGAGCTTCTTAATGGCCCTTAGCCAATCAGGGCAGAGGGATTTGCATAGTCACTGTATTGTAGGGTTACCATACGTCCGGATTTTCCCGGACATGTCTGGCTTTTTGGGCTTCAAATCCCTGTCCGGGGGGAAATCCCAAAAAGCCAAACATGTCCAGGAAAATAGGGAGGTGCTGGGCCCGGGGCTGGCCCGGGGCCCGGCGGTGCGGGGCAGGGGGTGCTTGGCCGGGGGCTGGCCCGGGGCCAGCACCCCAGGGCCCGAGCCAAGCCAGGCTGGAGACGCTGGGGCTGGGGCCAGCTGCCGGAGGGAGCCGCTGGGTTGCGGGGGGGGGCAGACTGGGCCGCGCCTCCTCCCCCCACCCCACCCCAGCTTACCTGCTGCCTGCTTCAGGCTTCCCGTGAATCAAATGTTCGCGGGAAGCAGGGGAGGGGGCAGAGTTGGGGCGGGGACTTTGGGGAAGGGGTGGAGTTGGGGCTGGGGCATGGGCGGGGCTAAGGGGCGGGGCCGGGGCCCCATGGATTGTCCTCTTTTTGGACACTCAAAATATGGTAACCCTATTGTATTGTTAATCACTAGAGTCATTTTTAATACCCATACATGATTGAAGCTAAAGTTCTCAGAACTCCCCACACATATGCCATCCACAAACATGTCTGTTAACTTCTGGCTCCTCTTCCTGCACAGCCAGTTCACTCTTATTTGGGGAAAAGAGAGGGACTGAAATTACTATCCCATCCTCACGAGCTAAGGAGGAATCATGAGGGAAGATATTGCAAAGGCTAAATTTAGATGAGGCCACAGGATGTGGATGGGATCAGAGGCTGAGGCTCTCGCATATGTTGGAAACAGCTGGGTGGGGAATTGCAGGGGAAGTAGCCATTCTGGATGTAGGGGCTACAGATGGGAGAGCAGTCTCCACCCACATATCCCTTAGGGAGGGGGCAGACACAGTGTAGCTGGACAGTGAGTGGAGCCTCTGCTCCACATTAATGCCATCTTCTCGTGGGGGATGGTTGAGGGCCAGGCCACTCCTTCATTAACCACATCACTGGGAGGAGTGCACTGTACAACCAGTCCCAGGTGGGGGAGCTGCTGTTGCGGCAAGTGGTCACCGGGAGTCCTCATGAGCAATTCTAGCCAAGTATGGAGAACTCTTCCCTATAGCTCCTACTACAGCACAGCTTCTGTGGACAAAGCACCTCTCCCTGTGACTGGAATATGGTCTGTAGCTTCAAGCCACAGCACATTCTACAATGATTAGAGAGCCTAATATTGAGGGTTGTTGAGCAACCAGTTTTCCTTAGTGACTTGTGAATACTCAGCACCTATCAGGATAGGGCCCATGCCTGTTAATTCCTAGTTATTATGGGACATTGTGGACAAAAAACATGTAGTATGTCATCATTTATGATACAACCAAGGGTCTCAGTCAAGACATGGGCACCACTGAGCCAGTCCCTGCCCCAAAGAGTCTGCAAACAAAAAGATAAGTGAAAAATGTAAAGTGGGGGATAGGGATATAACATACAAGCATGTGATCATGGTGGTGAGTGGCACCAATGGCAGTGTTAGGGGAATGGCAGGATTGAGGAGGGCAAGGCAAATTTAATGTCACAACTCAGTGACTTGAAGTCCATTTAGAATTAAGTGCAAGGAGCAGGGGGCACATCCTTCCAACCACTCAAAACTCCAGGATCTACCAAGGATTCCCATCCCAATTCCAGAGAACTCAAAGCATCAATATGGAGGCCATCCATGCCCAGTATTAGACTCCCCTATGGCAGCACACTTAGATCTGTGCCTATGACACCATTGATTCTGACTCAACTGCTAAGCTGAGTTCCACCACCAACTCAGTGCAGCCGAAGCTGCAAAGAAGTAGTTGTCGCTACCTGCAGCATTAAAGGCTTGGTTGTATTAGAATTTTTTGCACTGATGCAGATACAGTGCAGCACTAAAGCAAAGCCGATTTTACACCCCTGCAGTGCCTCTACACTGATGATTTGCATTGACATGGATTTTTGCTGCTATAAAGAGCTCTAATCTAGACAAGATCTAGGGCTAGTCTATACTGGCAACGCTAAAGCTCTGCCACAGCAGCGCTTTAACATGCCTTGTGTGGTCACGGTGCAGGTTACCATCTCAGTAAGGGGCGTAGCTCCCAGTGCTGGGGCACTGTTTACACTGGCGCTTTATAGCGCTGCAACTTGCTGTGCTCAGGGGGTGTTTTTTCACACGCCTGAGCGAGAAAGTTGCAGCACTGTTAATTGCCAGTGTAGACAAGCCCCTAACAATTTGTACTTTAACTTCTATTTCAAACTACGTGTGAACTTTGAAGGAAGCATTCCACCTATAACCACTGCCACCTGGTTCTACACACCCTAACCCTTTTCAACAGCCTTGGAGACCTACATTCTAGATGCTTATCTGAAGCAAGATTCCCCCATCAGTTTGCAATATATCCATTGAGCCGTAACAACCTAAATGTTAAACCGTACTGCTGTCACCAGAAAAACGGAAGACCCAATATCCAGTCTTACAAAAATAAAAACTACAATATTAAAGAAGTCTTTGAGATTGTCCATTCCTGTCATACAAGTCACACTCATACTCTTCTCAGCTGTATTTCTTTTGGCAAGCCTGGGGTATTCACACATACCAGAAGTGTTAACATACAAAATAGTGTCTTTCAATTTGAATGGTATACACTCTGAGCCTTTGTACAAGCAGTCATGTTCCTGCATTGTGGAGCTGGCATTTCCTGATCTTTCTTAGCTTTGGCAGATAATTTCCTGAGTGAATTGCTTACTTTACACTTTAAAGGGTTTCCTTTTAAACTACAGAAGTGCCAGAAGGACTCAAAATTTAGTCACATCATATTTACATTATATAAGA